ACGTAGTTGCTTATCGTGAAGGACTACCGTTGGCTCTTGAAGTTCTTCGATGATACTTATATGAGAGAACAAAACAAGAATGGAATTGTGCATTGTCAAAACTAGAGAGAATCCCCAACAATCAAGTGCAGGAGAAACTCAAAATAAGCTATGATGGTTTAGATTGTGAGGAAAAGAATATATTTCTTGACATATGTTGTTTCTTTATTGGCAAGAATAGAGCCTGTGTTACAGAGATATTAAATGGATGTGGGTTTTATCCTGAAATTGGAATAACAGTCTTGGTAGAAAGGAGCCTCATAAAGGTTGAAAAGAATAACGAGCTTGCAATGCATGATTTGCTATGCAACATGGGAAAAGAAATTATTCGACAAAGTTCATCACGACAACCTGAGAAGCATAGTCGACTGTGAGATCATGAAGATGTATTAGATGTATTGACAGAGCACACTGGAAGAACTTTCTGTCCTTACTATTTTGAAACTTTTGTCCTTATATTGATCACAAAACTTTTTTTTATATGTTTAGTACTTTCTAATTTTTCCCTAAAAATCATGGGATTCGTTATTCAGAGAGTATTTGTCTTGTAGTGTGCAATAGGTGTATGCATAGGCTATAGATTCATGCACACTTATTTTCAATATAGTGGAAAAGCAACCAATGTTCTGTTTTTATTTTCTTAATTTTGTCACACATTTTTTACCAGGGAACCGAAGCTATTGAGGGGTTGGCTTTGAGGTCGGAAAGAACTAGTAAAGTTTTCTTCGGTACTAAAACATTTGAGAAAATGAGGACACTAAGACTTTTGAAACTTGATAGTGTACAACTTGTTGGAGACTGTGAGTATCTTCCCAAACACCTAAGATGGGTCTGTTGGCAAGGATTTCCTTTAAAACACATACTAGACAACTTTTATCAGGAAAAGGTAGTTGCTATTGACTTAAAATACAGCAAGATTAAACTAGTATGGAAGGAGCCTCCGGTAAACATTACATGAAATTTTCTTAGATGACAATATTGTTTCTACCATTTGCTTCTCTAATTCTTCTTTTCAAAAAATTTATCGTGCAGATGTTGGAGAGGCTAAAAATCCTCAATCTTAGTCATTCAAGGTACTTGACAAACACCCCTGACTATTCAAAACTGCCAAATCTTGAAAAGCTCATTCTCAAAGATTGTCCAAGCTTGTCTGATGTACACCATTCCATTGGTGATCTAAGTAATTTTCTTCGGATAAATTTGAAAGACTGTACAAGCCTTAGCAATCTCCCAAGGAGGATATATCAGTCAAAATCTTTGCAAACCCTCATCATCTCTGCTTGTTCTAACATTGACAAATTGGAAGAAGATATAATGCAGATGGAATCCTTGAGAACACTGATTGCAAAAGATGCAGCTATAAAAGAAATGCCACGTTCGATAGTAAGATCAAAAAGCATTGGATATATATCCCTTTGTGGATACGAAGGATTAGCACGTGATATATTTCCTTCTCTCTTTTGGTCTTGGATGTCACTAACAATGAATCCTGTGTCCTGTATTCCTTCGTATGGGAGCATGTCATCATCTTTAGTTTCCAGAGACGTACAGCATAATATTTTGGGTGATAAATCACCAATGATTAGTAGCCTTTCAAAATTTAGAAGTGTTCGGATGCAGTGTGACACAGAGGTGCAACTATCTCAATTATTAAAAGGAATTCTGGATGACACATGTGCTGATGCAAAGTTTTCTGATCTGGGAGCAACATCGTTTGCATCATCATCACAAATATTAGGGCCTTCATTGAGGTTGCTTTTGATTGGAATGGGAAGTTACCGCCAAGACCTCAATGCATTTGGCAAGAGCATATCAAAGGTTCCATCTCTTTCCCCATGTTGTCAATGTGTACTATTTATTTATGTTTCTATTAATTAAGAGAACAGGGAATAATCTTTGCTTGGTTAAAATCTGAAGAAAAAAAAGTAATCTTGCCTTCCTTTAGAACCTTTATTCTCTTCTTTGAATACTCTGTTTCAACCAGACAGTCAATATTGTGCTCTCATGTTAAGCATTAGCCACTTGGAAATTTCTTTTCACTTTATTTTTGGTAAGTTGGTTTCATATTCATTATATTATTTTCATTGTAAAAGAAAAAGTGAGAGTTTTATGTTGAGAGACATGTTTTTCATAAAATTTCTAAACTTGTTATTGCAACAGGAATGTAACCTAACCCTCTGCAATTGTTAGACACAAAAATAAAATTAATTGAATTTGTTTCAATTAGTTACCATGTTTAAATTCTCAGAAAATTCACTAATTGAAATTCTGTATAAAATTTTAAATGCAGAAAATATCTTTTAGAATGGCATAATTTGATAAATGATTGCTTTTGTTCTTGATGCAGGAATTGACTACCAATGGGTTTACTGGTTTTTCTCTACCCAGCGACAATTTTCGTCACTGGTTAAGCCATACTGGTGACGGGAATTCAGTACTTTTCAAAGTGCCTCATATTAGTGATTGTTTCATGAAGGGAATGATTTTGTGTATTCTTTATTCCTCAACCATTGATAAAATGGAAAACAATTGTCTTATTAGTATCTTGATTATTAATTACACAAAGTGCACCATCCAGATATACAAGCGAGACACAGCTATCTCCTTTGATGATGAAGACTGGCAAGACTTAATATCGACTCTAGGACCTGATGACAAAGTGGAGATATGTGTTGCTTTTTGGCATGGATTGACTGTCAAGAGGACAACTATCTTGCTAATATATGATAAATCAATTAATGTGGATCTAGTGACTTAATCGAATCCGAAGAAAAAGCATCGAGAAGACTTAGAGAATGTTTTGGAACATGCAAAAGTCATAATATAGGATTCCCTTGATTTCTGTGTTTTGCAATATTTTTCTCCGAGCGGGAGGAGCAATATTTTTCTGTGTATTGCTATGTGCATAAAGGATAAATTTGTCATGCAATGCTACTGATGCTAAGGTCCATTATAAACTTTGTCTGCTGAGTGGCTAGGGCATAGGGTTATTTGACTTCATGACGTTCATCAGTTGTTGCTTCACAAGGACATTGTGAGAAACACTTCACTGTTAACTATTTGACTCACAACATGAAAGCTATTGTACTGTGTGAACTTTTATGTGTTAAGAAAGAATTTGATTCAAATGCTAAAATGTATCACTATCTCAAACAAATATTTTTCTCTACCTTTATTCTTCATATGCAGGGAGCAGAATCCTTTGAGGATTAACTTTGGTGTTGCAAAAACTAAGAGAGTTTTCCTCAGTAATAACACTTCAAGGAAATGAAAAAACCAAGACTTCCTATTTACTGCTTGACTATGTTGCTCACTGGAGAGTAAAGATATCTTTCTGATTAACTGAAATGGATCTGTTTCAAGAATTCCCCTTATAATATGTACCTAATAAATTTTATCAGGGAAATCCAGCTGCTATCGTTGACTTCAAATGCAGTACTATTAAACAAGTTTGGAAGGAACCTAAGGTATAACCATTTATCTTTCTTTTCAAAGGAAAAATCTAGGGTTGATTACAGTAGTAATATTTGCTAACATTTCATTTTCCTTTTTCTTCTCTAATTTTTTTCTTTTCAACATTTGTCTTGTTATAGTTTCTTATGCTAAAAATCCTCAATCTTAGTCATTCTGGGTACTTCACAAACAACCCTAACTTCTCAAAACTACAAAATGTGTCCAAGTTTTTTGCCAAGGTACTCCAGTCCATTGGTGATCTCTGTAATCTTCTTCTAATTGATTTGATAGAAATCTCCCTTGGGGAATCTGAGTTGAAATCTTTGAAAACTCTCGTCCTATTTGAAACAGAAATTTGTCCTAGATTTGGTCTCATCAACCCGGTTCTCTCTTCCCTTCCCATCTTTATGCTTTTTGTTTAGGCATAAAAGATATCGAAAATCTTCAAAAGGGCCTTCTGGGAATGTGGCTACACAGCATGCTGTGTTAGCATAAGTTATGGCGCAGGCTCGGTGATGGTGGTCGAAAGACTTGGGGAAATTTTGCACAAAATCAAAACGGGATTTATTTGTGCGTGGAAAAATCGTTGGTTGATGAGTTTATGAATCTGAAAAATTCCATCCAACTCAAACAATTTGGTCAGATATCAGCATATAAGAAGAGGCATTTGATGAATCCATCTTCATGGTTTTCTTCTGGTCATTCAAATTCCGCTAAAAGTTTCTGCTTGGTTTGTAAATTCCGCTAAAATCTTTTTAATTTTTTTAAGAGTCTTTCTTTATATTTTTTTTATCAAATAACCTTTTGTAATTTTTATTTTTCATTTCATCCTTCTAAATATCATAAATATTTCTATTTAATCCTTGTATATATCATACCATTTTTATTTTATTCTCATAAATATCATGAATTTTTCATTTGATTCTCCTAAAATAAAGGACCATTTTATAATAAAAAATATTTCATAAAAAACACATTTAAAAATTAAAAATAAAATAAAAATACATTTTTTAACAATCAAAACTTAATTAAGCACCAAAAAAAAAAAAAAAACTTCTCTTAACGAACATTCCTTTTAAAGAGAAAAAAAAGGAGCTTCTTCTACTCCCAAATTTGGAAAAACACTGGCTTATTTTTTCGCTCCTTCTTTCTACACCGAACCTGCTGCATTCCCTCTCTCCTGGAGTTCTTGGACGTAGTTCAAGCAACAATCTTTCTGCCCAAATTGAGTCAAACTCTGCTGCTACATTTTCAATTAGAACAATTGGTATGAATAGCCTCGACTCAATACCTTTTGCATTGGATGAAGCACCAAAAGGCTTCTTCTATTCGTTGCCAATATTAGATTTTTGCTATTTCTATACCTACCATTCTCTCCTACTGTCAAACTTCAACTTTGCAGGCATGAACTGTTCCTTGAGTCTTCCTATATTGGTTAGTCAACCCCAATTGGTTTCACATTCAATCTCAATATGATAAATGTGAAAAACCGTATCCTCGTTGCTTTAATTTACGTCATCATCTCAAATTTATTATGATAAATTATTAGCTAAGATATCATCTTGTATACATAAATCCAAGCAAACTGAGAAAGAAAAGCACCCCCAAACATGTATCATTAATCTTACCCATAAAACAAAAGCTTTCATGATCTTGGAAGCTCACCTTAGTTTGTTGTGGAAAACATTACGAGATTGGATTGTTAATATAGCAGCTTTTATCACTGGAAAATTCATATTGAGGAATATTTTAGTCTGTGAGGAAAAATGGAGTCACAAGTCACAACGGAAGAAAATCGGAGCATCCTAGCGGAGGAAACCTTTTCAAAACACATCATAAACACATAGCCATGTGATTAGAAGAAAATAATAACACCATCTTTGAACTTCATACTTTGAAGAATTAAAAATCCCTTCTTCAAAAGTAGTACCACCATCTCCTAAACCTTCACAATCCAAAAATGTAATAACCTGGCCACACTCAAACTTCCTTGCCGAAAACTCACTTTCTTCATGAGCTTACCCTGGATTTTCTAGAGAGCTATTATGCACAACGGCACCATTTCATGTGAAATTATTGTTTCTTCAAGGCACCCAAATTAAAGGATAATTTATTGACCATAAAGTAGGAAAACTACTGTCTTCTTGACAGTCAATCCATGTCCCAAAGCTACAAAAATCTTCACTTTATCACCAGGTCCTAAATTTGATATTATGTCATTCCACTCTTGATCATTAAAGGACTTTAGTATGCCTCTATTGTAGAGCTGTATGGTGTACTTTGTGTAGTTAATGATCAAGACACTAATACGACAATCTGCCGCCACACTTTCTAACATAGATGAACAAACAACATGCAATATCATTCCCTTCATGTGATAATCATTAACTTGAGGCACTTTGAAAAGTATTGAATGCCTGTGACCTTTATGGGTTGACCAATAAGGATAATTGTCACCTGGGAGAGAAAAACTGCCAGACTCATTGGTAGTAAATCCCTGAAACACGAAAGAAAACTTAAATTATGCTATTTGAATGAATTTGTTCATTTTTCCATTATATTGTCATTATGAATCCTGAAAGATGAAACTTGAAGATAATAATATGATACAGTGCAAATGAAAACATAGACATGATGACACAAATTAAACCAAGGTCAGCAAATAGTTTTGTAATGTGCCCATGAACAACATAAAGTTAGGACACATTTATTTTTCGATAGTAGTTTCAGAACTAATAAGTTATAACATCTCTCAACTTGTACTCTCCAATGCTTTTTGAGAAGCATATTTTCAATAATTGTTCTAAACTAAAAGTTTTTATAACTGGCACCTATGTGTATATTATCTGTTAGTCATCATGGTCTTTCTTTGAGCATTGTGTCCCATTTTCTATTTCTACATCCTTCTTTTTACTATTGTCATTAGTTTTTCCTTTTATCAACTGGTGACAGCAGTTCAATTAATTACTCTTCATCCTTACTAATTATGGCTTTTTCACCGAAGTTACTGTCCGCATTACTTGCCTCTCCCAAACACTCCTCTCAAGACAAGGCATATCCCCATCAATGTGCACTTCTGCCCAGCAAAGAAGCAAAGACAGCTGCTAATCACAGGTACCTTGAGCAAAGAGAAGAGTTGTGTTTCCAATATAACATTCCTTTCCTCCCCTCATACAAATGCTCAGATAAGAGCATGATGGTGATAACTATAGCAAAGTGTGAAGAATTAGAAGAAACTGATGGTGGTGATATCATAACATAACCATTGAGCCCAAGCCAATGTAGTATGCAGTGAAGAGGACGTGGGTAATTTGACTTGTAAAATGCTGGATTTGCCTTTGTTTTCAAAAGGAAGCACGACACATCCTACAATGATGTACTCATGATCTGGTGGAGAACACACTGGGTTTTGATTGATAGTAGAGCCAATCACAACTTCAATGTACTCGTACTTAGATGAGGGAATTGTGAATTCTCTTGGTAAGGCCCTCATGCCTTTTATTTTAGTACTCTGAGCACCCATGGATTAAACATTTATTGCATAGGGGTCACTTGCCTATACCTCCATTTTTTTTAATAATAACATCAGGATAACATATTTTACCACTAAACCCATTCATTATGCCTATATTAAGTACTTGGAAATTTAGTTTCACTTTGATCTTGCTAAACTTGCATCACATTTGTCATATTCCCACTTATCATCGTACACAACAGATATTTTTTACTAAGATTATTTTGTGTCTCTTAGTTGATAGTAAAGCTCAGGAGAAAAAAGAGAGTGAGAAGGTACCTGTGGTACGCACTTGCAAAGAGTGATGACAAATTGATGATAACTTCCCATTCCTATCCAAAGAGACCTCAAGGAATGTCCTGAGATTCTCAATACATCGGATGTTGCTTGCAACACAGTAAAAATTTCATCATATACATAATATAGAAGATTCTGAGAGCAGAATTGCACCCTAACACTTTGAAGTCTTGAAAGGCCTCTAAGAATCAATAATATATCACCCAAATTGATATTCTGCAAATCTATGGACACTAGAGTTGATGAAATGTCCCAAAATGAGCAACTACGGGATAGAGCATTTGTTTTGGGTGACATCCAAGACCAAATAATAGAAGGAAAAATATCATGTGACAATCCTTCATATCCACATAGAGATACATATCCAATGCCTTTTTTCCTTATTATTGACAAGGGGACTTGTTTTATAGCAGTACCCTTTGCAAGTAGGGTTGTCAACGATTCCATCTGTACTATATCTTCTTCCACCTTGTCAATCTTTGAACAACCAGAAATAACAAGTGTTTTCAAAGATTTCAACTTATAAATATTTCTTGGGAGATTGCCAAGTCTTGTACAGTCCTTCAAATTTATTAGAAGAATATTTCTGAGATCTCCAATGGACTGGTGCACCTCGGACAAGCTTGGACAATGTTTGAGAATGAGCTTTTCAAGATTTGGTAGTGTTGAAAAATCAGGGGTTTTTGTCAAGCTCCTGGAGTGACTGAGATTGAGAAACTTTAGCCTCTCTAACAACTACAAGAAATTAAGAAATATTTAAAAAAACAAAATGTGGAGAAGAAATGAGAAATGCAATGGTGGCAACAATAACTAGTGCATCATTAACCTTTCAGTTTAGCAAGAAAATTTCAATTAAATTATACCTGAGGTTCCTTCCAAACTATTTTAAGATTACTATGCCTTAAGTCAATAGCAACTAGATTTTCCAAACAAAATTCACTGGGTAGGCAGGTTGAAGGAAATCCATGCCAATGGACCCATCTCAACCGTTTGGAAAGATACCCATAATTGCCAGTTAGTTGTACATAGTCAAGTTGCAACACTCTCAGATTCTTCATTTTCTTAAAAGCCTTGGTTTTGAAGCATGCTTTACTGTTTCTTGGCAGTTTCAAAGCCAATCCCTTAACATCCTTTGTTCCCTGTCATGCAAAGAGAAGGGAGAAACTTAAGAAAGAAATTAATGTATCTGTACTCTGCATACTTGTACTGCAAATTACTAGACAAACACTCCCAACAATAATCGCACATTTTTCAGCCAAAAGTTCAGAAGAATAAAACGATTCAGAAACAAATAGGTTTATGATCATCATAATTGAGATCACGGAAGATGATTGCAAGTTAAAAACAGTATATAAAGAAGGTTCCTACACTATCTTCTGTCAATACATTAAGTACATCCTCTTGAAACCACAGTCGACTACGCGTTTCAGGATTCTTTTTTGATTCTTGACGAATGATTTCTCTTCCCATGTCACGTAGCAAACCATGCATTCCAAGCTTGTTTTTATATTCAACTTTTAGGAGGCACCGCTCAATCAGGACTGTTATTCCAATTTCAGCATAAAAGTCACAGCCATTTAGGATGTCTGTAACATAGGCTCTGTCCTTACCAATGAAAAAACAACATATGTCAAGAAATATCTCTCTCTCTGTATCATCATTTAAACCATCATAGCTTATTTTTAGTTTTTGTTGTATTTCATGATTAGGAATTCTTTTTAGTTTTGATATCACACTTTTCCATTGTTCTTTTGTTCTCTGATACAAACAAGACCCAATGACTTCAAGAGCTAACGGTAGGCCTCTGCAGTAAGCTACAACATGTCTTGAGAGTTCAACAAAATCTTCTCTTGGACTTTTTCCCTTAAAAGCATGCCAATTAAAAAGCTCAAGGGACTCATTGTTGTTCATTTCCTTCACTTCATAGACATAGTCAACTGTAAGGACATTAAGTATGTGTACATCTCTTGTTGTAACAATTATTATGCTTCCTCTACCAACCCAATTACGATCTCCACATAGTGCATTTAACTGGCCAGAACTATTTATATCATCAAGTACAATGAGTATCCTTCTGCTGCAAAGTCTTTCCTTGATCATAGTTTTTCCTGATTCATCATCAAGTATCTTCACCCGTCTTGTTTGATCTATGTCACAAAGAAGTTGTTCCTGTAAATCAATTTGGCCTCTAGGCTTTTCACAAGCTTCTCTAACATTTTGAAGGAAACTTGTATCTTCAAACTTGTGATGAATTTGATTGTAGACAGCTTTAGCAATTGCTGTTTTACCAGATCCTCCCATCCCCCAAATCCCTACAATACTAGTTGTTCTTGATCGCGCTTCTAAAAACAGAATCACATCTTGCGCGCGGGATGATAATCCAACAGGAAAGCTTGGAATTGACATGTATCTGTTTTCTACTTTTCTCAAAATACAGTCAACGATTTCTTTCACTAGCATGTTTTCAGACCTGCAATTACCATTATAAAACAGAGAAAACGAGTAAATTAAGAAAGATTATGAGCTTAAAATACACAATCACTGACATTTGAATACTTTTTGAAAGAAATGAAGTTCGGTAAGATCACAACCAGAAGTATCATACTATCATATTGCCTTGTACATTGTCAAGTCCTATGATTTTTCCCAACTATATCAGTCATGGAAACACTTGAGCTGTAGTAAACTTTTGGTAATTGGTATAACACAGAAAGGAGAGAATTTTACACATTTATTTGAGTTTCTAAGCTAAGATGTGGCATATAATCGGATTTTTCGAAAAAAAAAAAGTGTTTACCAGTCCCTTGTTTAAAGAATAAAAAATAAACAAAATTTATTGAATGATGTGACAATACACTTGCCTCAGAATTTCAAATACTTTCTTACATTATTTTTAGTAAAAACTTAAAATTCATTATTTTTATAACTAACCATAGCGGTTAGGAAGACCTCTAACTCAAATTCAAGTTCAAAATCCTAACTACTTAATGAAAAACTAGGTAAAAAGTTATATATATTATTTTTCTAAAATTTACTTGAAACTTTTGGCATGCCAACCAGCCAAATTTGCAGCATTTTTGAGTGCTCTCTTCCAACGCAACAACACATCGGTGACACCTGAGTACCCAATCGCATGTCCTTCGAAAGCTTCTTGAAAAATACCGGTCTGATTACGTACATCACATGGATCAACATCATGAAAAACAGGCATAACCTCCTGACCAATTGTTTCGTGGCATTCCATAATCTTTTCGAGTTCCATAAGGCACCAACTAGATTCAGCATAGGTATGCGAGAAAACGACGATACATATACGAGACCCTTCTATTGCTCGCAGTAGTTCAGGTTCTAGTTCCGTTCCCCTATCAAGCTTCTCGTCGTCAAGGAATGTTCTGATTCCGGCGTTTGAGAGGGCAGCGTAAAGATGAGACACAAAGTTCCAACGAGTGTCTCTTCCTCTGAAACTGAGGAACACGTCGTGGATCCATTGATCCAAGGACGAAGAAGACATTGATTCTGTAAGAAAAACAAAAATTATTCACAATTGGAATACAAGGTTGAATACACACACAGTTTGTCTACAAAGTGCCAATCAAGAAGTCTTCCCTCAGGTCTTCTTTAGATGCAAGTGCAACACACCTAGTCATAAGCTGTTCTTTTCTTTCTATTTTATAAATAATCATACAACCCATATTACAAACCCATATTTGAAAAGGAAAATATAGTGAAATTAATTTCTTTTATAATTAATCACATATTTTTTAGAATTAAAAATAGTGTCAATTTTACTCTCTCTTTGTAATATATTTTTTTATCAATATTTTTGTTAATTTTGTTATAAATATAAAATTTTAAAGGTAAAAGTTATTACTTAAATTTTTTTATTACTTTATATAAACTTTTATATTTATGATAAATAGATATATTTACTTTTATAAGATTTTTCTTGTTATTTTATATAAACTTTCAAATTTCTCATATATACTTATGCTTATATTTATAATTTTTCCTTATTTATTTATTTATTACTTAAAATATATAATTAAAAAACTATTGTTGTAATTATGATCAAAAAAACCCAAAGACAAAGATTAGAAAACAAAATCAATAAAACAATGCAATAACATGTAAGAAAGAGAGCTGTCATAGAGAAAGAGAAAGATTCACATAGAGATTTACGGGGTTCAACTTCTAAATTTTGGACTACATCTATGGAAGAAGCAGATCACTGACTTATTATTAGAATAATGTGTATTTATTACATCATAAGAGAACACTTTATATAAAGAAGGAAAGGCATGTATATAGGTAATTAACATAACAGACTGGTAACTGTAATAACTGTAATCTAAACACTGAATGGTCCTGAGGCATCTTTCAACAATCTCTACCTTGACTTAGGAACTCTACTTATCAGAGAAAAAAAGAAAAACATTGACTCTACATCCTCCAGTCGCAAAGGAGTATTTCCAACAGTCAACATTGAGCAGGTCCAAACAATGCATGAACTTGCTCCTAGGACCAATTTAGTGAACATGTCAGTTGGATTGTGCAAAGTGTTGATCTTTTGAACCTTGATCCTGTCTTCTGTCCTGATGAAGTGGTATCTCACATCAATGTGCTTGGTTCTGTCGTGGTGAACTTGATCTTTAGCCAAGCAAATTGCACTGAGACTATCACAGAAAATTAGAGCATGTTCTTGATGAACTCCTAGGTCACTAACAAGACCCTTTAATCAGATCACTTCCTTGGCAGCTTCAATGAGTGCCATGTATTTTGCTTCTGTTGTTGATAGAGCAATCGAAGGTTGTAAGGTTGCCTTTCAACTGATCAGACATTTCCCTAGAGTGAAAGCATATCATGTTAAAGATCTTTTCCCATCTTGGTCTGCAGCATAGTCTGAATCTAAATAACATGATATACGGTAGCTTGAACTTGAGCCATAGATCAAGCCAACATCAACAATACGTTTTAGGAATCTAAATATTCTTTTGGTTGTGGTTGGTTTAGGTACCTGCTAACCACACTGACAGCATATGCTAGGTCAAGTCTTGTGCATACCATTACCTACATAAGACTACCTATAACACTTGCATAGGGTACCTTAGACATGTAGTCCAAGTTCTCTTGTGTTTGAGCCTTAATAGTTGCTAAGAGCTGTTCTTTTGCTGATAAGGGAGTGTTGAGTGGCTTTGCACTTGCCATTCCAAACCAAAATAAAATTTTCTGAATGTAATCTTTTTGTGATGAGAAGAGCTTCTTCTGAGATATGTCCCTGTAGATTTCCATCCCTAGGATCTTAGTAGCTTCCTTCATATCATACTCTTCACTTAATAGTATCTTTTTTTATATTTTGTATGTTTGACATATTCCTTACTGCTATGAGCATGTCATCCACATAGAGTAGGAGATATATCATAGAACCATCCTCCACCATGTTGTGGTAAACACGGCAGTCATAGGAACTTCTTTTGAAACCTTGACTGGTGATGAAATTATCAAACCTTTTGTACCATTGCCTCTACCTATACAATGACCTCTATAGTTGATAGACATAATCCTTTTTACCTTGAACTACAAAACCTTCAGGTTGCTTCATTAGAATATCTTCATCTAGCTTTCCATGGAGAAAAGTAGTTTTGACATTCAATTGCTCAAGTTCTAGGTCTTGACTTGCTACTAAAGCAAGTAGAACTCTAATGGATGTCTGCCTCATAACTGGTGAGAAGATTTCATTATAGTTTACTCCCTCCTTCTGACTGAATCCCTTTGCAACTAATCTAGCCTTTTACCTTATTCCCTCAGTTTCTGTTATACCAAGCTTCTTCTTGAATATCCATTTACAACCTACCACATGTCTTCCTCTTGGCAACTTGATGAGCTTCCAAGTTTGATTCTTCTGCCGTAATTCCATTTCTTCTTTCATTGCTAGGATTAACTTATCAGAATTTATGTGATTGATTGCTTCTTTGTAGGTGGCAGGTTCACTTGAGTCTATTTCTTCTGCTGCAATCAAAGCATAAGCAGCCATGTTTTCAAAGCCGTATTTCTCAAGAGATTTCCTTCTTCTTTATGGTCTCAGATATGCTTCAACTTCAACTTTTTCTTGACCACTTATATCATTCTGATGTGAACCATCAGTGTTTATAGGATAATTTTCTGCTAAAGTTAGAACCTTTTAGGTCTCAGATATGCTTCAAATTTAACGTTTTCAGAGCACAGAATTTTAGGTTTTCGTACAGTTCTCTATAGAAATGTCAGCTAGGGCATTTTCTTCCTTCTTTACTATAGGATTTTGATGAGAAGTTGGGTTATATCCCTTCTTTCTCCTTAATTTGTAATAGAACAATAGCTTCTTACATTTTATATTCTACTGTAAGCTTTTTCTATTGAACATGATTTCCTTTTCTGCAATATATTTTAGTTCCTACTTCTTATTTCTATTATGTCTTGCTAATTTCCTTAGGGATGAGGAAGGATAAACTTATTCTTTTACCCATTGCAATGAACTAAGCATTGAATGTAACTCAAGATATAATCTTTAATCTAACATTTTGATTATGAACTTAATGCCTCTTTGTTTTACGTAAATGGGGTTGATGAAAAGGAGTTTATTACTGGAAAGTTATGAACTTTCTTAGACTGAGATCAAAATACTTGTTATAAATTATCTAGGAATAGAAGCTTATAATGATGTGGTCATTTAGATTTTAATCTTAATGTTAAACGTTTTTTATTTTATCTAAGGGATTAGGAAGCTAAATGTGTTTTAGAACCAACTAACCAAGGAATTGGGGTTAGGTATTTTAGAAACTTGATCATTAGATTGAGCTGTATTTTGGGTTATACACATATTTTATGTAAGGAAAAAAGGATAAGGAATTTTGAACTCAACTCAACTTTTAATTAAATTACAACTTAATTTCATTATCTTCTTTAGTTATATATTGCAGTTTAGTTTCATTATTAATTAGCTCCTTATATCTAAAATTTTATTTACATAGTTAATTATAGTTTACCAGTATTTGCGTTTTTTTATTTCGCACTTTAGTTAATTTTCCAGTTCACATTACAATTTTGTTTTTGACTCAATTAGTAATATTTTGTTTTTGACATTAATCCCTATGGACGATAAATCTATTTTGTTACTTCAACAATTTGGTGCACTTGTCAAAAAGTTATCAAGTTTCTAGCACCGTTGTGTAACACCTTAATTTAATTTTTTAAATAAATAAATTTCACAAAATTGAGAATAATAAAATTTCTCATTCAACAGTTCCCAATACACAGTTCGATAAAGTATTTTAAAATAAAGATGGATTACAATTTATATCAAGTCATTGCTACAAGACTAGTTCAATTACATCAGAGAGATAATAACTTTCTAAACCCTATAGCAGTTTTATCCATCCCTTCACTGAGTCTGGTGCTGATCGTTTTAGTCACCTGAAAAATAAATGTAAAAATGAGTATTCTACACTACCAAACACACACAAGCATAGAGACTCACCGTGCATACTTCCACACATTCTCAACATAATTTAAATCATTCATTAACAAACATAAAGTAATAATTTCAATATTCTATTCTCATTTATACACAGATGCGTTCACTGCATCATCAAACAAATCACACACACATGTGCTGACTGCACGTAGTCACGCTCACTGTGGCACTGTGATCACAGTTTTCCTAATGTCCTCAACCTTAGGGACTTACTCAGTTTCACAATATGGAGGGTGCATTTATGGGCGCAGTCTCGCTGTAGCGAGATTCTACAAAAAGCAGAGTGCAGTTTCTTCTGAGATTTTCACTGTAGCGAGAGAAGGTGTCGCTGCAACGAGGTATCTCGCTGTAGTGAGAGTGTCACGATCAGAGGAGTATTTGAAAGGTCTAGGGTTCAGGAAACACATTCCCACTCTTTTCTCTTCATTTCCCTTTTGATTCTTTGAACTCAAAACCCATTTTTATCGATTAAATTGCCTTCAAGGTTGTTTGAAAGTTAGATTGAAGGTTGGAATCACGTTTGGGGCATTTGGAGGTAAGTTTTAATGGTTAAGATTTTGGTTCTTGACCCCATTCTCTGTTTTCCCGGTTTTCCTTGGTTCTCATGGGATTCTTCCATGTATGTAGGACAAAATTCGTGTGGGGAGTACTTTCCTTGTTGATCTCATGTGTGGGTCTTCATTTCAAGGTAAGGGAGACTCTACCCTATCTCATTTTATGCTTGAACTCCATTAATTTGCTGTGTGATGTAATATGGATGATTGAAATGTAGGAAGATGTATGCTTTAATCAGATTTACTCGATTATGATGGATATTGAGTATAATGTGTGTGATATAGCAATTTGGTTGTGATGGGATTTGATATTAAGTGTAATTTAAATAAAAGTGGGCATACATGCCATGTGTGAATATGAATGTTATGATGTAATTAAGAATGTTGCTGAAAATGTGTGTGAATGGCATGCTAAATGCGGTTGTGAATATATTGGAAGCTATGAATGGTTCACCGATATACTGAGGGTGTAGAAGATGAGACAGTAGAAATACCTTGAGGAAGAGAGGGTGGTAGTGACACCAACAGCAAGCGTGAGTGCACCACAGACTATACACTCTCCTCCTGACTTGGCCTCTGA